CACGTTATACAGGGTGGGGATGTGTTGAAGAAGGAGGGGGCACTGGCTGGTGCTGCTGGTGGCTGGAATGGGAGGAGAAATGGGGGGAATGGGCAAAAACGACGGGAACAGGGGAACAGACAGGGGGAACCAGAGGAAAACTGAAAATCGTGGGGAATGGGGGAAGAAGCAGGGCAAAAATGGCAGAAAGTAGGCAAAACCAGGGAAAAAAACAGAGAAAAAAAAGGAGAAAATGGGGGGAAATGTGAAAAAAACACGAAAAATGGAATGGGAGGAGAAATGGGGGGAATGGGCAAAAACGACGGGAACAGGGGAACAGACAGGGGGAACCAGAGGAAAACTGAAAATCGTGGGGAATGGGGGAAGAAGCAGGGCAAAAATGGCAGAAAGTAGGCAAAACCAGGGAAAAAAACAGAGAAAAAAAAGGAGAAAATGGGGGGAAATGTGAAAAAAACACGAAAAATGGGATAACTGGGAAAATGGGGGGATGGGGAAGAAATGGGGCAAAGATGGGGCAAACTGGGGAAAAATAGGAGAAAATGGGGAAAATGGGTAAATGGGAAAAAGGGGGGGGACTGGGGGAGAATGGGGGAAGAAATATGGGCAAAAATGAGCAAAAAAATAGGGAAAAATGTGGGAAAAGAACAAGAGGAAAGGGAAAAATGGAGAAAAAATGAAATGGGGAAAAATGGGGCACAAATGGGCAAAAAGTCATGAGAAAAGCAGGAGAAAATCAAGGGAAATGGGAAAAACAGGGTAAAATGGGGAAATGGGGCAGAAACAGGGAAAACCAAGGGGAAAACAGGAGAGGAGAAAACCTAGGGGGAAATCCTGGGAAGATGGGGAAAAATGTGGGGAAATGGGCCAGGAATGGGGGGGAAGGGGCAGAGACAGTGGAAAAGGAGCAAAACTAGGAACAAATGGAAGAAACAGGGAGAAAGAGACAGAAATAATGGAAAACAGAGAAGAAACGGAGAAACAGGGAAAACTGGAGAAACAGCAGGGAGGGGCGCAAACGAGGCAAAACGGGTCAGAACCAAGGCAAAAAAGGCAAAAACGAGGCAACATGGGGCAAAGCCAGCCAGTTATGGGATTTGGGGCCAGAACAGAGGGGAATAGGCAAAACAGGGTAAATGAGACAAAAGTAGGGAAAAAATGGGGGGAAAACCAGGAAAAAGTGTGGCAACACCAAGAAAAAACAGGAAGAAATGGGGTGAAAATTGGCACAAATGGGCAAAAGAGCAAAAACGGGGCAAACCCACAGAAAACTGAGGCAAAACAGAGCCAAAATGGGGCAAAAAAAGCAAAAATGGGGCAGTGGGAAGAATGTGGGGGTGGTTATGGGGTGGGGGAGCACCTATGGGGCAGCTGGGTGGCCAATTAGGAGACACAGGGTACTTGGGGGAACTGCAAGCAGTTTTGGGGCACTTGGACAGGTGTGAGGCATTTTTGAAGCAGTTGGGAGAATTGGGGGTCAGCTTTGGGGCAGGTGTGGGAAACTGGGGGCAGTTATGGGACAGTGGGGGACACTTGGGGGGCAGCCATAGGTCAACCATGGGTCTGGCCCTTGACGTGGGTCAGACCTGGAGTTCCTGGAGGTTCTCATGGAGGGGCTGGGGCTGGTGGTGTGGGCGATAGGGACCCCCGTGGCCCCTGAGCACACCAGTATGGCCCAGTACATCCCAGTGCCGTACACACTCTGCCCCGGCTTGCCTACCACCTTCCCAGTATGGGCCCAGCAACCCCAGTACCATGCCAGCCTAAGCCAGAGGTCTTCAGGCGCAATCCCAGTATGGGCTGCCACACTCCCAGTATGGGCCCAGTGCTTCCATTATAGTACCATATAGTACAATGCCAGGCTGGGTCACAGCTCTTCAAGTAGGATCTCAGCATGGCACCAACACTCCCAGTGTGAGGCCAGTGCACCTAGTACACCGTCAGTCTGATCCATAGCTATGAGTCAGATCCCAGTACGATACCAGCATGAGCTAGTTAAACCAAGATCCTAGTCTGAGCCCCAGTGTTCCCAGTATGTACCCAGTGTTCCCAGTACAGTGCCAGCCCAGGCTGCAGCTCTGAGAGTATGATCCCAGAATAGGCCCCAAGTCTCCCAAGGGCACTCCCAGTGTTCCCAGTATGCACCCCAGTATGGGCCCTGCAGCTCCGAGTGCAGCTCCAGTGCTCCCAAGTACAGATCCCAAGGCTCCCACCACAGGCCCTAAGGGTCCCAGTACAGGTCCCAAGGCTCCCAGGGCACTCCCAGTACAGGTTTCAGTGCTCCTCCAGTGCACTCCCAGTATGGGCCCCAGCAATACCAGTACAGGCTCCACTGCTCCCAGTACATGCCACCAATAAACGGTTTTCACTCCACTCCGTCCTGGTGCCTTCTTGGCCTGAGCCCCCAAACCCTCGTAATTCCACTCAAAAATAACGTTACCAGCCTGACATCATCTTTATTAGTGGGTGGGTGCATTGGGTCACAGGATCAGGCCCCCCCCAGTGAACTCCATCCGCTGCCAAAGGAAGAGAAAAAAAGAGAGTGAGTGGGCAAACCCTGGTGTCCAGGGCAGCAGGGACGCGGCAGAGAGACCTTGGCACCTGGGCGCACCTGTGGGGGGGCGACGGAGGGCAGCCAGTC